CCCCTAAGCAGTTGCAACCCACGATACTGGTCACCGGGTTACAACAGAACGGTGGCAATGATCACCTCTGCAGTATACCTACGGCAAACCCACTTGCCGCACCTCTGCAAATGGCGGGGAATCAAACCCTTACCACCCCGCTCCCGCAACTGGTGATCAGAGGACTAACCCCGCCACCCGTCATCCTTCTCTCGCTCGAGAGCTCGGCACGGTCGACGCTCACGCAAACAAGGAAAGGCAAGAAAAAAGGCGCAAGAGGCAGGGGCAATACCAGGACTGGTACCGCCACCAACACGCGACCTACACGTGCTTGACCCCACACGCAGAAAAAGGGTCATGACTCCTATTTCCTAAGTTTCTCTATTTTTCCGGTTTTTCCTGTTTTACTTTGTTCTTTTTTTTTTTCTCTCTCTCCCCCCCTCCCCTCCCTTCTGATCTCCCTTCCCGGTGCCTCTCGTCATCCCCTTCGATCCCTGGGATTCACTACCCCATCCGGCACAACCCATGTCCTGTAATTGTGACCTTTGAGCGCAGGATCCAGGCTCTAGCGTCAGCGCCCCGGGGCAGATGACCACGTTACCATCCGGCCGGAGATCATGGAGGAGACAGAGACCGGACTGTGATATGTTCCTTCATCTGAGGTACACAAGCAGGATAATGGAGCCTCTAGCCATCAGGAAGATGATCAACGAAGTACTGGCAAGGATTGTAGGCGATGGCACGGCTACCTAGCTGGAGCGCATCGTGATCGGCTGGACCTACAACTGTAATATTGTGTCCAGACTATGCAGGCCTGCGGAGGTGTTCTACGAATTCGATGTGGCGCAATGGATGGAAGCCTACGATCCGGGGCAGTGTCCGTGCAGATCACGCAGATACATGGACATGCGCAGCCAAGCCTCGATAGAACGACTCCAGTGCGAAGGACAGTTGCACGTGATCACACTGGACTCATTGATCACGGACAACCCTCTGCTCCAGGGCATCATTAATGCGGGATTGAACCACATCCCCTGCATGTCCCTGGACATAGAGGAGGCGCAAAATGAGTTGGGCGTCTTTCTCGACAAACTTATGGCGGAGGTAATGGAGCTTCGAGAGCTAACGACATCCACCCGGTCCTTTCTAAGAAGATTGATCCTGAAGAAAGCGAAGGCAAAGATGATCAAATACAAGGAGCAACATCGGCACGTATCCGCCGAGCCATTCGAGCATCCGGCGGTCAAACGGGAGGTAGAGTTCCTGACTGGACGCTTTCTCATCTGTCCGACAGATAAAGCTCCGAACACTCCTACATTCGTGTGCAAAAAATTCATTCGGAAGCTCGCCTTTCAGAGGTTGACTGAACCTGAATTCGTAAGCGTCGCCACCTCCCCCGCTTCTGCCATCGCAAGAATACAAGGTGAGCTCTCGGCCCTGCATGTGTTACTAGCTGCCCTTGCTGCGCTCCCGTTCCTGATGACGGTCTTCAAGGCGCATAAGGGAATGTTTCGATGGATTACGAACACTGCCGGTACCGTGGTCTCCCCTGCAGCGGAATTGTGCACATGCCTGCTCCGATTTCTTCTTCCCTTGGTGGAAATGTTTTGTGAAGAAAGAAGCCTGGAAGTGGAAGCGCGGCATGGAGTGAAGCCAAACTTGTGGTGGGCTACATCATCGGTCAGAGAATTTTGTGCGAACCTGCCAGATAAGATCTACTCTATCTTCACGGTGGATATCACGAGGTGCTTCGAGATGATCCCCACGGACAGCTCGGATGACAGCCTGTCGGCCGCCGTCAGATTCTATGTGCAATGCGCGATGCAAGTACAGAGGGAAAGAAGCTCATGCCACTCCATTCGGATTCGGCTTGGGGCTAGCGGCAAGTTTTGGCCCTCATGGGTAGACGCTGAGCAGGTGGAAGAACCAGGCTCCATGATATTCAGGGAGCACGACATTTTCTGGCTCTCGGAGTGGTGCATTTCCAATAGTCTTCGCGGATGGGAGACTTCGTGTGGAAGCAGGTTAGAGCCATACCTATGGGTGTAGCCTGCTCCCCCATATGGTGCGACGTTTACTTCTTCAAGTACGAATTCCACGCCATGATGAGACTGGCGGATACTGGCAATGCTCACCTGATTCCGTTCTTCTCAGACACTTTCAGGTACATCGACGACTTGGGCGCCATCAACATCACCATCATCAGCAGCTTCATACGGAAGAAGGTGGACAGGGAGGACAGCGATCCATGTTGGATCTACCCGGATGAATATATCGAAATAAAGGAGAATACTGAGGTCACCATGGACGGATGCGGACGGAGAGCCAATTTTCTCAGCGCCACCATCACGATCACCTCACCGGAGACTGGAACTTATATCACTTCCAGGCATGACAAGCGGGAGGGGCTGGGATTTACTCCTTGCAAGTTCATGAAGTACAAGTCCAACAGAAGCGCCAAGCAGGCGCTGCAGATTATTACCGCCCAGGTTGCGCAGATCCTTCTTCTGTGCTCGGAACCGGATGATGCGGCCGTGCATATTAACAAGGTGGTGGATGCAATGAGGAGCAATGGTTTCGCAGGGGACGCCTGCTGGCGCATGGTGAGGAAGACATTGTGCAACGCATACCGCTTATAACCTGGACAAGTCTCTGTGCACGCAGTTAGGGAGGCGCTCACGCGCATGTTCGGGTTCTCTGACTAACTCTGGGTTCTGGCTGCGTGTCTGTGTCTGTGGATGTGCATGTGTGTGTGGTAGGTGTCCGGGGGACGACTGGGCCGAGATGGCCGGTTGTTCTCCGGACAACTGCCCCCTCGGGCCATGTTATCCCCCGGAGGGATCAGGGTGGGACACACACACACACACACACACACACACACACACACACACACACACACACACACACACACACATACACACGCTTACAGGTCGAAGAGAGGAAAAGGAGAATCGATGGAAGATGGATGGACGGGCCCCCTTCCCTCTCAACTCGCGTCATGGGCAATGGGAAGGGTGGACGGCTCATTGGCCTATCTGGCCCTTTGGACCGCCACTTTTTTTCTCCTTTTTCCTTTTTCCTTTCTCCTTCTTTTTTTTCTTTTTCTTTTTCTTTCTTCTTCTTTCTGCCTCCTTTTTTCCTTTTTTCCTTTTTCCTTTTTTCCTTTTTTCCTTTTTTTCTTTCCTTTTTCTCCCCTCCGCTTCTTCTCCCGCCTCTTTCCTTTCTGATTGGGCAAACGTAGCATGGTCCCGACCCCCCGAATAAAACGCTGGAGGAAAACCCCGAATAAAATCCTAAGCAGCGGGATTCGACCGACCATGGATTTTGAGAACGGCTCGCTCTCGGATCTTGACGATTATGGGCGGGATTCGAGTAATACACGACCCCGGGGAGCGTAGGTAGGTCTCAGCCGGGTCTTTGCTCTTGGACTGTGTCACCCCTRGTGTCCCTTGTTCCCCCCCTCYCCTCCCCCCTSCCCCCTTCMTTTTTTCCTTTCTTCCTTTTTCCTTTTTGCTTTTTTTCTTTTTTCTTCTTTTTTTCTCTTTGCTTTTTTCGTGACCATCCGATAAGTACGTAGGAATAGTGGAATAGGAACGATAGCTTGCATCGGAAGGCTGCGGGTGTTGGGCATGGTTCGGGACTATATCACAACAGAACACAGGGTGTTCTATTCATCAAACTGACACAAGAATCGACGACTTTCGTGATTAGCAATGCGGTCAGTTTGTCGGGGACTGCGAGCGACATGGACTTTTTTGCCGACTGGGACCTGGAGGATGAGCAGCGGGAGGAGGAAGAAGTGGTAACGACACTGTGAAGCGACACTCTCCTGGTCCCTTTGTCGTACCCTGGTACCTGAGCACTCCAGGCCGAGCACTATGCAGCCTCCCCCCACCTGCCCCGCCAAACCCAGCCTATCCGACTTAGCGCCCGCCCCTGCTCAGAGCATCGCGTTCCTGCTTCTTCTCCCCCTCCTCGTCCTGATACCCAATCTAGCCATAGCTTGCACTTTGTTTGTTGCCTGCTTGTCCGAGGGAGTTTTTCTCCGACTATCAGCGAGGCGCTTTGCGTTCCTGCTCGGCGGCACCATTTGCTTCGCAACCCATTTTCTCGCCAGCTGCTGCTGCCTGTTCTTCATCATAGGCGCAGGAGGATTGCGGACTCATTAAGCTCGATAGTATTGCTGCGACAGCGAAGGGCGATGGAGCAGAGATCGGCAGCGGAGACCTCGACTTGCGCCCTTTTGGCCTTCCTCGCGTTCCTCTCCTTCCTCTCCTTCCTTTACTTCCTCCATTCTCTCCCGTCCCCCTCTGCGATCAACCCCCCCACCCCCCTCCCCACCCCACTCCCCCTCGCT